TTGCATCAGTGGACTTCCATGTAGTCTACTGTAGTTCGAGTCTTGAACCTGGTGGCTTAAAACTCATGCTGGGCACATTCGTTCATGCCCAAGATTCTGAGAGGATAATGGAGGAGAAGGGATTGCTTTGTGGCCATCCACTCTGTGTGTGTGTGGGGGGGTGATGTCTCTGTCTGTCTCTCTGGTGAGTGTACATGCCCTATAGCAAAAATCTCTTCTTAAAAAAAAAAAAAGAAACCTAAGTGAATAGGTGCATGGATGCTAATTTGTGGTTAGTTACGTAATTTAGGAGTTAAAATGCATGAACCAAAGATATATGTGTCTGTATGAATAAATCTCAAAAACAGTTTAGTCAAAAAATGCTGCTAAGTAACTCCTAGAATAATTCACTCACGTACCAGTTACCAGCATAAAAGCAGTGATGTTATTTGGTTGGATGAGACACATTTATTATGTATATTATGTCGTGGAGGTAGTAAGTGCTCATTCAGGGTGTTTGTAATTCTCTCTGGAAGGAAGAGGATATATACAAGAGAACTTCAGAAAGTTTAGGGGGAGATGAATTGAAGTATGAGTTTTATTTTGGTGCAAAATTTTTTTGAAATCCATGCAGTTTTTTCATAACATCCATTTTCCATACACCTTTTAAAGATCCCACATAGACGTCGACAAGGGCATATATGATATATAAAATATCTTAAGTAAATATGGCACTGTGTTAGGATTTGATAAACCTGGGTGGCAGTTAAGTGGATGTTCATAGTTTTCTTGTTCTTTTATTTGTTTGAACTATCTCACAGTAATTTTAAAGATGAGGTAGTATTGGTTCTGACACAGTCCTGACACCTAGGGTCTCTGTTCCTGTCTTCCCGTTCCAGTTCTGTACCTTCTCTCAAGGCCCTTGTGCCCAGGAGGTGGATTTGGAGATTTGGCCTCTGCCCGCCGTTACCCGGGGCTTCTCTGAGCCTCTACATGTGGGCTGCCAAGAAATAGCTGGTTAGTGATGAAACCAAGGCCCCAGGGCTGTTGAGGGGCCTTTCATAAACCCCATTCAGACCCTTCTGCCAAGTCAGACTTTACTGCTTTGACTAGGTGTGCAGTCAGCAGATAAATCCACATCTAGAATGTGAGCTTCTGCCTTTTGGTCTTAGACTCCAAGAACAGAAGAAGAACCATTTTCTCAGGAGCCAGAGGTGGACTAGTGAGTGGCCCCCTGCCTCCTTCCCTCTCAGGGCTGTCATCTTTTTGTGTTACACTCCAAGCGTGCCAGCCACTTCGGGAGCTGGGGATCCCTCTGGATAATGTCTGTGCCCCCCCCCCCCCAAGCTGACTCTGCAAAGGCAGCACACGGGTGGTTTTTCACTTTGACTTCTTCGCCATCTGTGGTGGTCTTAGCCTCACACATTTCAGTGTATTACTTGTTAAGACTAAAGCTTTTCCTTTTCCTATGAAAGATTTAGAAAACTCCTAACTCAGGAATTAGTGGTAGGAATATAATTTTTTTGTGAAGCACCCCATTCTGCAGAGTTAGGAAGATGCATTTGTGCTGCTGTAAAACATACATTCGTGTGTGCCCAGAGGAAAAATACTCTCCTAAATTTGCGTTTTTCTATTTCGTGCTCTGAACAGAAAATATATTTATGAATCTCATGTTTGCTCATGTCGAGTAAGATTGAAGAGTAAGTTTTCTACCATGGCTTTTCTGGCCGAGTTTAGAAGTTGGAAACCAGCAGGCTGCACAGAGCCCCGTAGTCCTCGGCCGCAGACAGGCCTGGCTTTGTACCTGGATGACCATTCGCAGCATCAGAGTTGTGGCTGGTGCCAGCTGTAGCTCCATGGAGACTACCCCTTGAGCACATGGTTGTTGGGAAGCTACTCGGTTTGTAGAGCCTTGGCTAGGGGCCCCCAGACCCCTGGCAGCAGTCTGCCTCTGGAGAACGGGAGTGTTTTAGAGGACTACTGTCACATGAATAGACTGAGTATAGTGTTTACAATGTGGTTTTTGTACCTGAACTTGCCCACGTTGGCAGTGCTCTGAGAGGTCCTTGTGAGGACTCAGAGAAGCTCTAGTGGGTGAATTCCTACCAAGAAAAGATGATTGACGTCACAGCTTCAATCCTTCTTGTCCTTGCCCTCCTACCCACCAAACCCACCAAAGGCCGGTCAGGGTACAATTTCCTTTTCATTGCCTGGCTTAGGAGTGTCCCTGGAAAGACTGGTTTGTGACAGCCTTCTTCAGTTGTCATCTGTGAGAGCCCCTGCTGTGGATCGTGCCATCACTGCCCACGCCATAGGTCAGAACCCACTCAGAATCCTAAATACAGCCTTGGCCAGGTTGCAGAAGCCTCTGCCTTCATTTGCAGAGGTGACGCAGAGGTGACAACTAGGGTAAAAGTTGTACTGTGGTCCTGCCCAACCCGAGGTGCTGGTTTATAGGAGACATGAGCATTACAGCCACAGCTGATGAAGTTCCCAGCTGGAAGGCGTGTACATGGACGTTCTTGTCATGAGAATGTTACCCCCTTCCCGCCAAGGTCTTTTTAGAAGGGCTCAGTGAGATCGTCTGTTCATTCTACAATGAACTTGATTTTTCTTAGAACATCGAGAAAAGAGACATTTAAAAATCTTCCTTCTTTAAAATGCCTTAATGTCAGAATTCAAATTTCTTGATTGTTTAGGAATTTCCATTCTTTTGTCCTTCCCCACACGTACTCAAGAGAAGTAGGAATCTCAGCGTATTCTTTTTTTTAAAGAATTATTTTATTTAACTTTATTTATAAACAGAGAGGGACAGAGTGAGAGAGGATGAGAGAAGGAGAGAGAGAGGGAAAGTGAGAAAGCAAGCTGCTGGGTCCAGGACTTAAACTGTAGTCTGCCATGTGGGAGTTCAGTGCCCTTAACCACCATGCCACCTGCCAACCCCGGAATCTCAACTTCTTAGTAGAAGGGTATTCTAGTCTGTTTTATTGACAGTAACAGAAATACCTGAGTCTGGATAATGTAGAAGAACAGAGGTTTATTCAGCTCATGGTGTTAGGTCCAAGGTCCAGGGTCTTCTTGTTAAGGGTCTTCTTGCTGGTAAATAACATGGCAGAGGACAGGAGCTTGTGCAGATCAGAGTGTGACTGGTTCGTTCCCTCTCCTTACAATCCCCTCGAGACTCGATGTTTGGGTTCTCACTCTGATACCTAATTACTTCCCAAAGGTCTTGCCTTGCAATTCTTTAATCAGATTAAGTCTCCTCTCGATACTTTGACCATAAAACCAAATGCTAACACATGGATTTTGGGGGAAAAGTTCAAACCGTAGCAAAGAGAAACCTTAACATCTAAGCCACTAAGCAGCCTGGGTCCAGCCTACCACATTGTCCACAAGTTTTGGAGGATAAGGTCAGGGGAGACCTTTTCACCTCCTCTCTTCCCCTCCCCTCCTCTCTTCTGCCCCTTCTCCCTTCCCCCTACTCACCCTTTCTTTCTTTTTTTTTTTAAAAAAGAGGTTTTTGCCTTAGGACACATGGGCTTGGGGGAAGGGAGATGACAGAAACAGAGAGGGAGAGGGAGAAATCATCCCTTGGGGGATGGCCACTCCACAATCCTTTCTCCTCCTGGGATCTTGGGCACACATGCACATATGGTTGGTGTCATTTTCAAACCACTGGGTCCAGGACTTGAACTGTAGTTGACTATGTGGGAGTCCAGTGATGTAACCACTGTTCCATCTGCTCGCCCCTACTCACCCTTACATGTACGTTCTGGTTGCTCAGTCCACCAATGATCTTAAGCGAAACTAGACTGTTCCTCACTCTCCATAGTTCAAGTAACTGGCAATGATAGCATCAACATTAGTTAAAAGTTGAGGTGTCCTGGGCCAGGTGATGGAGCACTGGTAACCCAACTGCACCCATATGGGAAAGACCCTGGGTTCTCATCCCTGGACATACTGGGTGCGTGCGCACGTGCCCACGATCCAGGCCAGCTTTGACTGAGGGTGTATCATGGTGTTGAAACCTTTTGGGGTGCATCTCTCTTTCTCTCTCTTTCATATGAAAGGGAAAAAAATTATTAAAAATCAACTACAATTACTAACACAAAGATGTATGGAACCCTTTTATTTTAAAAAAAAATGGCTGAGCATAGATATATAACTGCACATTTTCTGACAAGGGCCTAGCGACATTGTGTATCATGTCCCCTCTCTGTGAACAGTTTCCCCGCATGTGGACTGCAGGCTCCCTGACTGTCTAGGAGATATGGCTGGCAAAAAGCCATTTTCCTTCTTTAGATTCTTGATCACTTTTCAGAATTGTTATGCAAAGATGTTTTTTGTTTTTTGATTTTTTTTTTTTAAATTTCTGACCCCAGGGAAATGTTTTTAGCTACACTGAGAAAAAAGGAGACAACAGAATAGAAATGGCAAGCCAGGGGCCTGCTGGCATATTGCTGACAGCCACAGATGAGTTTGGTTTGGCTCACGTGGTATTTTTTTTAAATCAGTCAATTTCACAGTGAGAGAAAAAGAAAAGATTTCTAGACTGACATGAGAAATCAAAACATCTCTGAACTTAGTGCCCACATTTCTATGGCAATCAGCGATGGTCGACTGGTACCCACTCTCTAATTTAGGTGGGGCTTTTTGCTGTAGTCCTCACCACTCCTTATCACTTCCACTTGGTCTGTGCTGCTCTTGTGCGTGTCTGACCCCGGTGGTGGAGAACATCTTGAACTGACCATGGCTCCCGAGTCCCTGGGCATCATGGACAGCAGCTACAGACCTGTACTCTGCCGCCTACCACTGCTTTGTGTTTCTCATCACCAATAGGGACTGCATATATCTTGGGTCAAAAGTGCTGACTTCTAAAGAGTGGCAGGTAAAAGTGTTTAAGATCAAAGATTGCCTGGGTTTGTTTATTCTCTGAATTTATTAGAATGAAGAAAGAATTAATGAAGTGGGGTGGTGGAGTGGAGATAGACACTGTCAGATGCCTCAGTGTGTGTGTACAGAGAGTAATCCACATATGTGTGTTTGGCAGGTGGAAGGAAAGCAAGCCAGGATGGACATTTACGACACACAGACCTTAGGGGTGGTGGTCTTCGGCGGCTTCATGGTTGTCTCCGCCATCGGCATTTTCCTGGTGTCGACCTTCTCCATGAAGGAGACATCGTATGAAGAAGCTCTGGCCAACCAGCGCAAGGAGATGGCAAAGACTCACCACCAGAAAGTGGACAAGAAGAAGAAGGAGAAAACAGTAGAAAAGAAAGGAAAGACCAAGAAAAAGGAAGAGAAGCCCAATGGGAAGATACCCGACCATGAAGCGGCCCCAAATGTGACCATCCTCCTCAAAGAACCTGTGCGGGCACCTGCAGTGGCTGTGGCTCCAACCCCGGTACAGCCCATGGTCATTGCCCCTGTAGCCACAGTACCTGCCATGCCTCAAGAGAATCCAGCTTTCTCCCCTAAAGATAAGAAGAAAAAGGAGAAAAAAGTGGCGAAGGTGGAACCGGCAGTCAATTCTGTGGTCAATTCCATCCAGGTTCTTGCCTCAAAGGCTGCCATCTTGGAAACTGCTCCCAAGGAGGTGCCTATGGTGGTTGTGCCCCCAGTGGGTGCCAAGACTAGTATCTCAGCTTCCAGCACTGCTCAGGGCAAAAAGAGTGAAGGGGTCCTAAACCAGGGCAAGAAGGCTGATACTGCTCAGAACCAGGGCAAAAAGGCAGAAGGAGCCCCAAACCAGGGCAAGAAGGCTGAGGTTGCACAGAATCAGGGCAAGAAGACTGAGGGCACCCCAAACCAGGGCAAGAAGGGTGAGGGTGCTCAGAATCAGGGCAAGAAGGCCGAGGGTGCTCAGAATCAGGGCAAGAAGGCTGAGGGTGCTCAGAATCAGGGCAAGAAGACTGAGGGTGCTCAGAATCAGAGCAAGAAGGCAGAGGGAACCCCGAACCAGGGCAAAAAGACAGAGGGCACCTCAAACCAAGGCAAGAAAGCTGACAGTGCTCAGAACCAGGGCAAGAAGGCTGAGGGTTCTCAAAACCAGGGCAAGAAGGCTGAGGGTGCTCAGAATCAGGGTAAGAAGGCTGAGGGTGCTCAGAATCAGGGCAAGAAGGCTGAGGGTGCTCAGAATCAGGGCAAGAAGACTGAGGGTGCTCAGAATCAGAGCAAGAAGGCAGAGGGAACCCCGAACCAGGGCAAAAAGACAGAGGGCACCTCAAACCAAGGCAAGAAAGCTGACAGGGTCCAGGACTTGAACTGTAGTTGACTAGGTTCTCAGAACCAGGGCAAGAAGGCTGAGGGTGCTCAGGTCCAGGGCAAGAAGACTGAGGGCACCCCAAACCAGGGCAAGAAGGGCGAGGGTGCTCAGAACCAGGGCAAGAAGGCCGAGGGTGCTCAGAACCAGGGCAAGAAGGGCGAGAGTGCTCAGAACCAGGGCAAGAAGGCCGAGGGTACTCAGAACCAGGGCAAGAAGGCCGAGGGTGCTCAGAACCAGGGCAAGAAGGGCGAGAGTGCTCAGAACCAGGGCAAGAAGGCCGAGGGTGCTCAGAACCAGGGCAAGAAGGCTGAGGGCACCCCAAACCAGAGCAAGAAGGGCGAGGGTGCTCAGAACCAGGGCAAGAAGACTGAGGGGGTCCAGAATCAAAGTAAAAAGGGAGAAGGAACTCCTAACCAGAGCAAAAAGGCAGAAGGGAGCCCCAACCAGGGCAAGAAGGGAGAGGGAACTTCCAACCAGGGTAAAAAGGCAGAAGGAGCCCCCAGCCAGGGAAAAAAGGCAGATTCAGTTGCTAATCAGAGCACAAAGGCAGAGGGTGTTACAAACCAAGGGAAAAAAGCAGAGGGAACACCAAACCAGGGCAAAAAGGCAGAAGGGTCCCCCAACCAGGGCAAGAAGGTGGATGCTGCTGCCAATCAGGGTAAAAAGACAGAATCAGCTCCTAGTCAAAGCAAAAATACAGAGGTACTCCAGAGCCAGGAGGCACCAAAGCAAGAGGCTTCTGCAAAGAAGAAATCCGGTTCAAAGAAAAAAGGTGAGCCTGGTAAGTAACTCCGACTTCTTTATGAACTTGGAAACTGTCTTTAAATGTCTTTTGGATTCTCTCTGGAGATACCACCTGTATCAGTCAGCTACTCTCATAGTAAGGCTGTGTAACAAACATGTCAAAATTCAGTGGCTGACAAATAGTAATCATGTATTCTCACTCATGCTTCTGGGGCTGGGCTGTTGATTCTTCAGTCTGTATTTTAACTGGGTTGACTCCTTGCTGCAGGTCGAGCTCAAATCTATCCCACATGTGTTTGGTCTGGGACCCAGGCTAAGACTTTAGTGACTCTTTGGGATAGACAGAAGCACAAAGGGCATTTCAAGCAGTGACATTTCAGTGAGCATCCTATTGGCCAGAGCAAGTCATATGGCTGATTCTGAATTAAGAGGGAGGGGGCCCACTGGGTTTCCAGTGAGAGTAACTGCAAAGTGCCATGGGGAAGGAGAGGCAAGAAATAAGAAACAGTCTAGAACAGGTCTGTGTTTGGACCGGTCTTAAACATCTGGGAGCACAAGGAGAGGTGAGGAATTAATATAGCAATTTTATCCACCTCACCATCTAAAACAGGTTTGTGACTTTTTGGTAAGTCTTCCTCCCCCCCAATTGCCAGAGGGTGTGTGTGCTTGCCAGAGAGGGACAGAGATGGAGGGAGAGGGAGAAAGCACCATCCCAAGAGGAAGGGTGATGGTGCAGTCCTTTCTCCTCCACCTCCCTATTGGTTGGGATCTTGGGCACACACGCACCCAGTGTTTGTTTTTCAACTGGGGCCAGGGTTTGCCACATGGGGTCTGGCAGCCCTCCACAAGTCTTTCTTAGGGCTGTGACTGTATCCTGTCAGCCTGGTCCCGTTCTTGCCTGATGCTCCCTGAATAAGTTACAGTTAAATGATGTTTCTGAGTAGCAATGGCATGTTTCCACACCGTCCCTGTCAGCGTCCCCTTCTCTGCCTCACCCCAGCTGTTGGATGCAGCATTGTAGAGCATTTAATAGGTATACTGTAGGTAGGCATTAGGCAATAGAGAGTATTAATTAGCCTTTATTTCTTGGAGTGTATGATTGTAAAAATTGGACCCGGAAGTTCCTGTTTTGTGTTCATGACTCATTTGATTATCTCTTCTATTTTATTTTATTTTATTTTACTTTATTTTATTTTATTTTATTTTATTTTATTAAAAAGTTTGAAAAGCCATTAGGTGGCTTTGGAAAATTAACTGCATTTATCTTGACAAAAGGTACCTTAGAGATTGGAAATGTTTGGTTGGACCCGGGCTGGAAGCACAAGGCTTGTGTGTCTGGTGCATTTCTCTATTTCTGCCTGACTGGGGTTTTCCTAGATTTCCTCCTCCCTGACATTTGACCAGTCCTCTGCTCAGGCAGTAACCCTGCCCCTCAAGGGACCCATTCCATATGAATGGCTGTTGGTTCCTGCTGGAAGTCCAGGGCCAGCCTCCCTGGTCCCACCAGGTCAGGTCAGCCACTCAGAACCTTCGAAAGCCTGGACCCTGGCTGCTTCCAGAGGCTGAAGGGTGGTGCCCTGCCCTGCTTCAGTGTGATGTTCCATTGCCCCAAAGACAAGGATGTGCTAAGAGCTCGCTGTTCTCCCACATCAGGTGTGTTCAGAGCTTCCTGCATCCTCTGGTCATTGCCTTGGGTGGTTTTAGATGTTTAAAATAAGATGTGAGGCAGAAATGCAATGATAACTGGAAAGAAAGCAAAACTACCTTAACCTGCAGGAAATACAGAGTCTTGTTAAGAATAAGATCTATGTGGGACCTCTTGGACTTCCACAAAAGCTTGACTGAGGCAATAAAAAGAAAACTGGAACCAAGAAAGTGAATACTATGTTCCAGGATAAGAAAGGTTAAAATAGTATAGAAATGAGTTATTCCAAGTTCACTTAGTAGTCTATCATTATTCTATTCATTGACATTTTTCCCTCCTAACATAAAGCTATCCTGAAAGCTCCATCTGAGGGAAAACTAGGCAAGATTATGAAATTAATTTTTTTTCAATTTTTGAAAAATGTTTTTATTCCCAATGGCATGTGCACATGCACTCTCAATAGGGTGTCACCTGCCGCACCTCTTATCCCTGCCTCCCGCTCATCGGCCGGGT